AACAAAACTCTCGTAACTATTTTAAACTAATTACAGTTTTGATAAAACTGCGATTGCCATTTTGTTTCACTTTTGTTCTTTTTAACTAACTTTCGTTAAATAGGTCCGTCAACTCAGCAACCTTTCATCTTTTTACTCTTTTTTCTATTTTGCTTTACTTGATTAAAGACAGAGATGAACACATAAAATTATGGTTGTATCTTCTCATTCACCATCTTCACCCAAAAACATATTTGTCATATTATTGCTTGAACAAAGAACCCCAAAACCCATATCTATTGCATGCGATGCTTGAAGAAAAACATATGAAAACACCATAGAAACCCCCCATTGAAACTCCACTTCTGGAGCAGGGAGGAGGGTGTTGACGATAGTGGTTAGAAGATCTGCATCGAAGGCTTCATATCCTGGTTCGAAGATCTGTATATCCTGGTTTGATGATCTGCATTGAAGGTAAATCACCATATCTCTACACTGGTTCGAAGATCTACGTCAAAGGTTTCATATTTGGGTTCGATCTCCCTTTATCAGCGACCCTAGGTTTGAGATCCATCTTCCTCTCTTCCCTTCTAATACGTGACCCCCTGTCCCCACCCCTCACCTTCTTGGTGATTTTAGTTTCTACAAACATTTTTGTGTAATTGTGATAAACTTGAGATCGATTGAGGGGATAAGGCAAACATAAGTAAGTTAGGAGGTGCAGAGCGCACACTTACAAATGTTGTCCTTATCACATTATAAAGCGAGAGTTTGAAATTTGACTAAGCTTGTATTTTTCAGCTTTCGTGAGCCATCACTGAAGGTTTATATAAGGCTGTGCTGAAAGGCTTCAGCCATTGCTAACGGACTATCGTTGGAAGTCCTGATAGCTTATTGCTGACAGCCTTCAACTTGTGTTTTTCAGCTTATCGTGGCAGCTTTCAGCTATCACTGAAGAGGCAGTTTCTAGAACTTGAGATTCGGTTATACTACCTTTTGACCTTATCCATTAACGGTTGTAACCTTCAGTTCCTCGTAATTAATTTTAACAATTACAAGATGTTAGATTCTAATAGAGCAATGCAATGAATTGCTCCAGATCCTTGATCAATTTAGTCAACACCATATGAATATGGATATGGATATCGGTGTCAAGTATAATTGACAAGTTTCCACCTTCGTGGAAAGATTTCAAACACACACTTAAAACACAAAAAGGAAGAACTAACTTGGGAGCTACTTATGTATTGAGGAATCACTAGGTGTGAAAAAAAGTGGCAAGGCCAAGGATAAGGATGTTCCTAGTTCATCCAATGTCAACATGGTTGAGGAACGTAAACACACAACCAAGAAAAGGTTCGATAAGGGTAAGAAACGAATGTTCGAGAACCCCGAAAACGGAACCAACAAAAAGTCGAGAATGACTTAGGGATATGTGGCCAAACCAGACATTTCAAGAGAGATTGTCGAATGAGAAAAGGTAACAAGAAAAGAGCAAGTACGAGTGGGGCGGGACAAGCATCGACGACCAACCCTAAATCAAGGCCAAAATTTCGATCTTTTCTAATAATTCGAGTGAGAATTATGTACCACTAATTTCCTATGCATTTTATGTACAGGATGATGATGAGATTTAAATCTGAAAAAGTGTAATACTTGCATGCTTACCAAAATCATACGTCAACCTTTTCCAAAAATTAAGAGATCATCTATGGTTTTGGATTTAACCCATAGTGATTGTGTTTGTGTGATTTACATGCAACTCGTACTCTTTCACTTGGAAATAAGAAATATTTTGCTACATTTATCAATGACGCTTCGAGGTTTTCTTACATTTTCCTACTTCATTCTAAGGATGAAGCTTTATAAAATACCAGTGGAATTGCAGCAAAATATTTAAATTAAAAATTTAAGAACCGGTGAATATTTCGATCCTCTTTATTTTCAATCCGTTGGAATCATACATGAGACTACAGTACCATACACACCTCAACAAAATGGTGTTGTGGAACGGAAACTTCGAGTTTTAAGAGAAATGGTTAACTCAATATTATCCTACTTCGGTCTTAATGATGGGTTTTGGGGTGAAGATTTTGAACCGGGTACCGAATAAAAACTTTGGTTCAAAAAGAAGCAAAACTTGAATTATTTACGAGTTTGGGATAAGGATTAAACGGGAGAACAAAGGTTTGGCTATAACACAAACTCACTATGTTGAGAAAGTGTTAGAGAAATTTAACATGTTAAATTGTTCACCCATAAGTACGCCTATGGATCCACGTGAAAAGCTTATGCCCAACGAGGGTGAAGTCGTTTCACAATTAGAATACTCTAAGTCAATCAGGTGCTTGATGTATGCCGTGACATACACTCGACCAAACATTGCCTATGCTGTTGGTAGATTGAGTCGGTTTACTAGTAGACCTAGTACTCATCATTGGCAAGCGGTAATAAAGGTATTCAAATATTTGAAGGGAACCATGAATTATGGTATTACTTATATCGGGTTTCCTTCAGTGATTGAAGGTTGATGCTAGTTGGATATCCAGTGTAGAAGATCATTCTACTACTAGTGGATGGGCATTCTTGCTCGGTGGAGGTGCCATCTATTAGGCCTCAAACAAACAAACAAACTTGCTTCATAAATTCCACCATGGAATCTGAATTTGTAGCCTTGGTGGTCATCGGTAAGGAGGCAGAGTGGCTAAGGAATCTAATCTATGAGATTCCGTTGTGGCCGAAGCCGATATCACCTATTTGCATCCATTGTGATAGTGCCGCAACCTTGGCTAAGGCTATAGCCAATTATTTAATGGAAAGTCAATACATTTGGGAATAAGACATAACATGGTTAGAGAACTAATCATGCATAGGGTGATATCCGTTGAGTTCGTTAGAACTCATAATAAGTTAGCCGATCATTCAACTAAAGGGTTGGCCAGGGACTTAGTGCACAAGTCCGTGATCGAGATGGGTTTAAAGTCCCTATAGATTCTTATTAATAAGATGCCTAATACCCCTTTAATACAACGTTAAACATTGAACTCAATGTGGAAGGTTTATTATTAAAAATTGAAGCACATGATATCATCATCCCAAGGTATGTGCTTAGACCTGCAAGTGTTATAAGGCTGAAGATTAATTTCTAAATGATTATTTTGAAAAGCTGCATATGCAGGTGCAAGACTTGAAAAAAATCACCTATGTGGACGTGAAGTGTGGCCGCTTCAAGAAAGTTCCCGACTTGGCTTTCTATACGTTCGTAAAAATGTATTAGGACGTAAGGCCTCTACAATTGTGTCAAGTTAGTTATCTAGATTTGTACAAACTTATGTGTATATTATCTTCATGTATTCAAATGGGTTGACAGGTTCAATTCTTAGAACACCCCAATTCTCGAAGATTTGGAATTTGTAATATACTAAAATGAAAATTCAATATTTGTGACATTTCATATATGCACCTGTTTGACTTTTACATGTTTTATGTTTCGTAGTGAATCAAAGGATTAAACTAAAATGGGGGAGGAATGTTGATGATTTTAGTGTCATCAAACATTTTTGTGTAATTGTGATTTACTTGAGATCGATTAAAGGGATAAGGCAAACATAAGTAAGTTAGGAGGCGAAGAGTGCACACTTACTAATGTTACCCCTATCACCTTATAAAGCGGGGGTTTAAGTTCTAAAAGACTTAGAAATTTGACTAAGCTTATATTTTTCAGCTTTTGTGAGCCAATCGCTGAAGGTTTGCATAAGGTTGTCGCTGAAAACAACTTCAGATGTCGCTGAAAGTCTTCAGCTATCACTGACAGCCTTCAGCTATTGTTGACAACTTATCGCTGATAGCCTCCAGCTTGTGTTTTTCAGCTTATCGTGACAGCTTTTAGCTATCACCGAAGAGGTAGTTTCCAGAGCTTGAAATTATGTTGTAATTACCTTTTGACCTTATCCAACTGTTCAACCGCCATTAACCACCTATAACCGTCGATCTCGCTTATAAATATGTAAAAACGAGAATCTAGGTATATATATATCAATTCCCAGAGCCTTTGAAATATGATGGAAAACTTAATAATTATCTCAATACGAAATTCGTGAAACCTAATGCTCATAGGGTTGAATTATTATATTAGAAAAGTGTTCCTATACACGATTCTTAAAATTATACGGTCTATATATCTCATCTGAAATCATAGTTCCTAACATACTTTCCCCTTTCCAATGTTCATAGACGTTTCTAAGTTCGTGATTGTAAGTTGTAACAAGAACAAGATTTTGTTGGGTTTCATTTTGATTATTTATATAGTTTTGTTTTTTTTTGGATTTGATTTGGTTGTGTTTGATATGGATTTGATTGTAGGTTACATCTTTTATTTTGTTGGGATCAATTTGTTGGCCGGAGAAACTATAATTTTAGCCGGAGAAGATCATTAGGGTTTGGGGTGAGATTTTTTTATTCAATAAAATATTTTTTTTATATTTTTAACTGAAAAATGTAAAAATACCAAGACGACGAAAAATACCTCCTGAATTAATGGATCTATATAACAGAAGTTAGTATAAGGGAATAAAAGTGAAACAAATGTTAATCAAAAGTAATTAATTTAAAAGATGTAAGAAAATTATATAGTGTTTGGTATTGTTTATTTGAAACAACTCATGCTTTTTTACAAAAGTGTTTATCAACTTATTATAAGTTAGAATAATTTAACTTCTTCAAAAATTCCTTATTACCGGTTTTGCACATATATAGGTTATTTATCCAAACACTCGAAAGTGTTTGTTACCGATGTCATACTGGAATAAATCAATAAGTTGTTTTTATAAGCAATCCCAAACACCCCTTAATAAGTGACAAGTAAATGAACCAAAAGTAAAATTTATTCTAAAAAAAAGTTAAATTAAACTATGAAATCTTATTAAAAACATTTTATTTCGATATAAGAATGAAAAGGAACAGTGTATAAAAAACGGGCCAAAGCCCAAAACATCGGTCCAATTCTATGCCTTTGACTCTTTGCCCTAAATATCACGCAATTGCATCATATTCATACCATCCAGAAACCCTAGCTGCACTGCACGTACCGAATTCCTGATCTCATCACCACATCAACTCAACAATGGTGATTCTATCATTCTCCCTCTAGATTCAGTGATGATTTCTGTACAATTCTCATACGAAATGTTTTGCTGTTGTAGGCGGAAGTGGAGGTTGATGTGGCGGCGGCTGGAGTGCCCAAGAAGAGGACGTTCAAGAAGTTCAGTTTCAGGGGAGTTGATTTGGATGCTCTCCTTGATATGTCTACGGATGAGCTCGTCAAACTCTTCACTGCTCGTGCTCGCAGAAGGTGCACCTACATTTTTCATGTTTTCTACCACAATCTTACATTCTGATTAATCTAAGACTGAATCATTTCGTTATTGTTGTTGAAAATTTTGTGCGCATTCAAGGTTTCAGAGAGGTTTGAAGAGGAAGCCGATGGCTTTGATCAAGAAGCTGCGCAAGGCTGTATGTGTTGTTCTTTTACCTTTTTTTTCTGTCAATCGTCGTCATTCTCTCTGAGCTTTTCTTGCGTTCTTGTATGGAATATCTGCTGATTGAGCTCATTGGTTTCGTATTTGAGTTTACTTGATATGTTTGTTGATTTTATAGTTTCGTGTGCCTTTTTTAATTTTTGAAGAACATGTTGCCTTTTGAAATTTCTAAGATTATCATGTTTCAGTGTGGATGTTACACTTTATTAAGTTTTATGTTATAAAGTGCATATAGTTTTAGATAGACTGCATCCTGTACGGACATTATGTTTCACACCTAAAGTATAACCCTAATAATCATTAGCTGTCCAAATTCTAATCTTATTATGTACTGTAAAACATGGTTAAAGATCGTGCTTAAGAATGGATTTGAACCTTTGATCACTTCACTCATGAATTGCACTTGATATGGGGATTGATTTGGTGCTTCTCATCCTAATCTGCATCCAAGGGTGGAGTGACTGGTGGAGAGCCCTTCTTATGCTTCTCATCTTTAACTCTTCTTTTCACCGGAACCCAACCACCTAAAACATTAAGGAATGCTTTGTTAGGACTTAGGACACAACTATATTAGAACATTTTCTTGCAACTGTGATGGGTTTTACAAAGTTGTTATAATTCACAGATATTTTCATTTGTCCATAACTAGCGAGTTTTATAACCGTTGTTCCAAATTTTGCCTCTCTTTCTTGACATATTTTAAAGGGATGCCAAATTGCCAATTACATCTGCTAAATATTTTTCCTTTTCTTCCACTTATAGTAGTTAGAGTTTTTACATTTGGATTTTCAAAAGCAACAACTATTTTTATGCTTTGGAGATACTATGCCTTTTTGCCCCCACATTATTTATTTCTCTTGATTTAAGGAGGGGTTTTTTCTTTTATGTATTTGTCTCTTGTTTTAAGGAGGGATTCTTGTCTTGTATCCTTGTATGAACTATCTTTTAGTCCCTCATTGATAGTTAAAATGGAGCTCATTGGTCACATGGTTTTCTGTGTCTTTTGAGAATTCCAAGACTGCTATATTTCAATGTAGATTGTAGAGGTCACTCTTTATCAACTTTTATGATATAAAATGCTTCTCATCTTGACATGTATCCTGTATGAACATTATGCTTCTCCCATCTCAAATCTAATGGTTAGCTGTTCATTAAATTCTAATCTTATTATGCAGAACATTTAGGACTTGATGATACAAGTAAATTTGCCTGTACCTCCTGTAATTGTAATGGGTTTTTCCTAGTTCTTATTATCGACAAATGGGTTGTTGTTTCTTTTATATGAAAGGCTGTATTTACATTTAGGAATGCAATACAAGTTGAGATCGTTTTAATAAAGAAAGAATTATGATTTGAGTGAATGAATGACAGAAAAGGGAAGCACCTGCTGGTGAGAAGCCTGAACTTGTGAAGACCCACCTGAGGAACATGATCATCGTACCTGAAATGATAGGGAGCGTAATTGGAGTGTACAATGGGAAGACGTTCAATCAGATTGAAATAAAGCCGGAGATGATTGGTCATTACCTGGCCGAGTTCTCAATTTCATACAAGCCTGTGAAGCATGGAAGACCTGGTATCGGTGCCACCCACTCTTCTAGGTTTATTCCATTGAAATAGAAGGAGTAAGTTGTTATATGATTTATGGATCAGATTCAGATGGATATTTTGAACGTTTGGTTTATGCTTAATGTTGAAGAGTTTGCTACTTACTTTTTGTGTTATTTTAAGTAGCAAGTGATTTTTGTATTTTGAAGCAGTTTTGGAAGAAAAAAATCCTCCACATTAGAGTTTTGAATTGAATGCCAGCATACTATATCAATTATAAATTTCATTAGAGTAAATTACATTTACTTTTTAGCCATTTTCTAACTCAAATTTACTTTTTACCCAATCTTTATGCAAAAGGCTTACGTATATCTCTAAGGTTTGGTTTTCGGGCAAAAAAAGTAAGAATTCTTACGCAGAAAGGGGATTCCTCATGTAGAAAACGGCTCCACTTTTTGCGTAACTTCTTTTTTATTATTTTTTGTCGAAAACCAATATCCTTGTGCATATGTGTAGGCATTCTTGGTAAGGAATGACTATTTAGTGAAATTGAATCTTGACATTACTATAAAGTGAAAAGAGTTGGGTGGATTGGTTATTTTCGTTAATTTCTGTGTTTATGGTCTATTTTTTTAAAATTGGTTTGGACCTTGAATTAAAATACCGATTTAGAACATGTGGATCTGAGTTACACAACCTAACATTGTTGATAAAAAAGTTCTGTTGGGGTATATTGGTCTTCTTAGATTGTGCAAAAATACAAACCATGGAAACCAAATCAATATTTATTGTGATTTAGGAAACCATGAGTCATTTAAACAGAATTTTAGTATATGGTTTAAATGAGATTTTAATTAAATTCATGATTTTTTTATTAATATAATTATTTTTTTATAGGCAGGAGGTTATGAATTTAACTAAAAATTCATTTAAGGTTATCTACGTAAATGACTCTTTACTAAAGGTTGAAAATACAATCTATCGTAGTTCTGATGATGAGTTTTTTAGTAATAAGGTATTACCGTGTCATTATTATGACTCAATTGATTACTTCATGCGTCCCAAAATAAGTGTTCATAATGAAATGACACTCGATGTAATTAACTAAATAACAAATTTACCCTTATTTTAATCTCTCTTTTTTCATAACTCTCAAGTTTTTCTGCATTAATTAAGGGTAAATTTAAGAATTTAGTTATCTCTTTTTTAAACTGGACGTTCATTTTAAAACAAATATAAAAAGAAATGTAGACACTTGTTTTAAAATGGAATGAGTATTTTATATTAGTTATTTTATGGAATTCAAAAACTTTAAAGAAATTATAAGAATAGGAAATCTTTGTAACTTGAAATTTAAAGGATTAGATATTCGATATATATATATATATATATATATATATATATACCTAATCAAATGAGAACTAATTAGTTTGTGGTAACTATGAGAACCAATATTAATCACAAATCAATAGATAAATTAGGAAATTTATAATTTTGGCAATT